ATGGAGAAGAGCTATAAGCATGGTGAAGAGTTAGACCCATTGTTATTCCTATGTTCCAGTTGGTCCCTTTTTAGTCCTTTTCCTCTTTATTTCCCACTCTTCTTCTTTTCCCCTTCTTTTATTACTTTTATATTTAAATATATATATATATATATATATATTATTACTATTTTATTTATTTATTTTTATTTCAACCTTTTCGTATCTTTTATTTGGGTTCATCTACCACCGACCTCAATTAATTTGGGCTAAAGGTGTAGTTGATGTTGAAGATTATCTCTTTTTCAACTATAAGGTAAACAATAGAGATGAAGGCATAATCCCAATATTTCATTGGTAGGGGAAGCACATGACACCATAGTGAGGCCAGTTTCAACAATGTGTCTATGTTTTCTCTCAACTACCTCATTTTGATTATGGGTGTGTGCACATGCTCTTCTATGGTTAATTCCATGAAGAAGAAGATAGTGCAAAGGATCTAAATTCCCCTCCCCAATCTGTTTGTATGGATTTAATTGGGAGTTGAAATTGAGTTGTAATTAGAGAGTGAAAGTTTTTGAAGGTTTGAAGTGCCTCAGATTTTTGTCTCAAAGGATATATCCATGTAAACCTTGTATTGGCATCCACAAAGGAAATGTAGTACAGGTGCCCCATAATTGATTTTACTGGTGCAGGGCCCATAAATCACTATATATCAACTCAAAAGGTTTATTGTAAACAATATTTGAGGGTTATGAAGGTAAACGATTGGGCTTTACCAATGCAACAAGTCTACATCATGCCCAAACTTGTAGTAGAGCTGACAGTAAACGTTTGATCTTCCTCCACAGCCTCTTCCTCTGTTATTACATCCTCCATAGCATCCTCCTGAACTTCGATTTGCATGCGATGATTCTCGATTAGAAGAAGGTAAATCTGATGCGGAAGACATGGTTTGGCTCGGTATGGATCAGGCATTCAGATTGAAGGCTGTGACACCATAACAGAAATGAACACGAAGATGAGAGAGAATGAGAGAGAGAGGAGAGACAAGCCATTGAAAAGCTTTGAGAATTTCTGAAGATATTATTCAAGTAGCAAACAGATGCACATAGAGCTCTATTTATAGAGCTAAGAGTTGACTTAGCAATGAGGCAGTGTAATGATTTACAAATAACAAACTAACCATAAGAGAACTAATCAGGTGTTGCACACACCATGATCAAGCGAATACACAACAACAAAGCTAATTACCAGTAACAGTAATACGGGAAGTAAACTAACTACAAAGCATTTATATGCTAATACAAAGTAGAAATTCCTTGCAATTCCTAATCATCCGAACATCGTTGAATCATGTACACCTATTAATTTTTAATTTCACAATCAGACTCAGTCTGCAACTCCTGACATGAAAGGCAATTTCCGCCAGAAAGAAAAACTCATCTGACAAACATAATTCACACCTATAATGCTACTACTGTTTTCTAAATCTACCTTGAGTCTTTATCACATTTGTTAATTCTAGATTAGAGGATGCCGTAAAACTTGAAAGAAATCTAAGATAGTAAGATGGCCAACGAAAAAAGTGGAAAGATCTGCAAAAAGTGGAAAATATATTCAAGCATACAAACTTATGTTCGAAGCTCAAATTAAAGATATTGCAGCTACCAATCAGTTTGAATCTGAACCCAATGAAAATAATTAAAATCAAGCTTGTAATTAATCACTGTAGTACAGCTTAAGAATGAGACAAAACTTTAAATGCTGAAATGCATTTCTAAACATAAACTGTAATCCTAACAATAAAATTGGTAGGAAGTGAACCTGCAGCATGGTTTCCAACTAGGGGAGCACAATTTACCACACAGTAGGCACAATGCAGGCTCATCAAGAAGTGTTTTGCATTCCGGGCAGCGCTGTTTGATACACCTGCTTACGTATATATATTTGTATGAATAAAAAAAGTAATATGGTACCCTACACAACAATATAATAGTTAGAAGTACCTCTGCAAAAGATCCTGATAAACATTTGGCAATCTCATCAATTCAAATGGAACTGCAGGTGTTATATGCATATGACGTTGAATTCCCTGCAATTCAATTTCCTTGCAAAAATGACGACACCAAATAGAGACTGAAGATCTTGAAAGTTCATCCTTTAGAACCGCATCAAGAGGGGGAATTTTAAACATATTCTCAAGCTCTTGAATTTTTGTGACCTCAAACATGTCAATATTGGCCCTGTCCATGGTGTCATTCAGGACATTCCACGATCTATCCAACATATATTCCCCATCACAGAATGGTGCTGGGATAGAAGAATAGAGTAATTTCCACAACAATGCACATCTTCGCAAATAAGGGAAAGTAAACTTCCGAATCGCATCTTTAATATCAACACCAGGGTCAAAATAGTTTGACACAAAATACTGCAGAGCACATCCAGATTCACCCATAACTTTATATATGTCAGTAATCAGGCAATCTGAAAAACTTGACTTGCTTGATGATTTATCCTGAGATTTCTCATAATACAAAATTATAGCCTGTACCCATAGGAAAAATAGATTAGGAAATAGACACTATCAGAGAACACATCATTAATTAAGTTGGAAATAAGGTGACCAACCTGGGTTACAGCTACGATATAGAAAAGATGCACAAGGGATAACAAAGATTCTTCACATGACAAAAATGGATATGGTAGACAAAACAGAACCCACATCAACGTTGAGAAAGGGTCATGGGCAAGTACAGGATCTGAAGCCTGACTCCAAAAGCATATGTCAGTGTTCGACAAGTCCTTTTCAATATGCTTTAAGATAGTTAGCATATCACCTGTGAATATATAGCAGTTAAAAAAAAGTAAATCAGTAGTAGATAAAAACACTTGCTATACAATTAAAATAAAAACCTGAGGGAATAAACTCACGCAAATTTCTGGCATGCAGGCAATGCACACAAACAAATGGATCATCACAATTATTCACATAAATGATTAAATTATGAGATCAGATGCAACTTAGACCACCGATAAAGTTGCTGGAATAACTTTTTCCCAATTTAGGTTTATTAAAAGGAAGAAACAAAATTCTGTAAATTCATGTCACAAGTAATTAGGCTGAACGCCTTTCTATTTTGACACAGCAGTAGAAAACAACTTTGAACCCTATCAAATTTACCACCAGGAAAAATTTATCATATGAAACCAAAACCAAGCTAGAATCTAACCTTGTAGTAGTAGTCCTTATGATTTGCTCTTCTTTGCATAGCTTTCAGCCTGAATTAGTCCAGCAATGTAAATTGTGAGTGTTTGTTTACCTGTATTTCTTTTGGCAGGAGATAATGTAGTCTCCTTGCAGATATGGATCCTAATAACGTGTGTTTTGGATTGAAGCAGGGATTATGGCAGCACTTGTTCTTGAAGCTGGTTGATTTTTTCTCTAAATTGTTTGACCACGTTTACCAATTTTGCAAAGATAATTCAGAGTGCATGAGGTGCTTATCCACTTGATAGTTGGCATTCTTTTCCATCACACATCAACAGCAGTGAAACAACTTGTATGTTTAGAAGAATAAGAATTGATACATTCCATTTACTTGTGGATATATATAGCTAGCTGTATTTCTCAGATTTGTACAGTTTAGCCTAGGAAAAATAAATCTTCTAATGTTTCATCAATGTCCAAAGATTCCTTCAGTTCTTTCTCTAAATATTTTTTAGCATGACCCACAAATAAGAGTGTAATCCTTGCGTTATGGCACCTTTTAGTTTTATGTATTAATGAGACTTTACCCTGAAGATAATGTTTGACAATCATACAAAGGTGCTGCTGACTGAGGTGGAAGGTATCATCTAGAGTTTGCTTTTCTTCTTGAAAGCTGTGAACAACTTATATTTTGCTGAGGAGGCGTTTGCTTCAAGTATTCTAATCACATTCCTTGGATATTTTAGAAAAACCTCTTAATATTTAAAATTCTTGGGAAACTCTTTTTTTTTTTTTTTGAATTTTCTGAAAATAACTTAAAAAGTTTGATTGGTTCACAATGTATATTTCTAGAAATATGTGATAATTCTCAAAATGTCCTTATTATATTTCTAGAAATATTATTTAAATATTACTTGTAAATGTAATTGATAAAAAATGTGATAATTCCTTATTTGTTTTTTTCACTTCAGGGGTGTAAATAGGCTAGGCTAGGTTTTGACTTAAATAGGTCTGGTCTGTGTAAAAAATATTGGGTCTGGCCTGGACTGTTAGCCTGCGTAGGTCTCAAATTATAAGTTGCTAATCTATATTTAAAAAATAAAAGCATTGGCCTAGGTCTCTTAGCATGTTTAAGTCTATTAAATATTCAACAATTAAAAGAATAACTAAAATAATATTATTTTATTATGCAAAATTATTAAAATAATAATTTTATTTATTTTATTTAAAATAAATAATATAATATGGGATGGTCTATAGACTTATAGGCCCTACCTACATATACAAAAAAAGCCTATGGCCTGTTATTTAAATAGATTTTTAAAAAAATTTAAGCTTGTTTTATTTTACTATTTGTAATAAGCCAAGTCTGGTTTAATATAGGTTAGGCCGTAGCAGTGGCGTAGCCACTCCTATGCCAGCAGGTGCCTTGACACCTGCTTGGTTTTAAAAAAATTTACTTGTTTTATATAAATATATAATTAATTATAATTAACTAAGATTAAATTTGTAATTTGGCACCACCTAAATAAATATAATTATATTTATGTTTTTCAATCAGAAAAATAAAACTCAATACCCAAACCCTTTTACCTAACCCATCAATTAAAATTACTTTCAAAGCCTTAATTTGTGAATACAATTGCAATCATAATAAAGACTCAAATTATTTTCAAAGAGGAGATGCTACATACTTAAAATAATTCGTAGTGAAGGCTCAAATTACTCTCAAAGAGGAGATGCTACTGCAGCTTATAAGATGATCACTTCCTTTAAATTTATCTTTAATTTATTTTGGATGAAAGAGATAATCAGCTGTCACTGAAAATCTTTTTCAAGTATTACAACAAAAATCTCAAGATATTTTGAATGATATACAATTAGTTTCAAGTACAAAGTAACTTATTCAAGAATTACAAGATTCTATCCTTGAAGATTTTGTTAGTTTAAAAGAGCGTCGTTTACAATTTTAGGTATGCATTTTTTATTATATTTTAAATTATTTATTAAATGTTATTAAGCATATATTTATTATATTTGTGTGTTTTCATATCCTTAGGACAATGCTTGGTCCATTACTTATTAGGATAGGTTATTCTACCTACCTTTGCTTACCACTCTTCAATACCATTGGATCAGAATCTCAATTACATTTATTATTTCTTTCTCTTATTAGGATTCTGATCTAACGATGTTGGAGAGTGATAGGCAAAGGTAGACCAACAAAATGATAGATAAAATAACCTATCCCTTACTTATTATGCTGTGAGAGGAAAGTGAAATTCTTATGTTTGAAATGCTTATAAAAAAGGTTAGTGCCTTTTTATATGTTTGCTTTGATATATAATCATTGATAATTGTTCATTTGAATTTTCAATGTTACGTGATATTATTTAATACATAATTTAGATAACCATGTTAGAATTTATAGTAAATTTTTTTCCTGATTAGTTTGTGTAATTATAATAAATATTTTAATAATTTAATATGTCAAAAAAATTTGACACCACTTAAAATTTTGGTGTGGCTCCGCACTGGGCCGTAAGCTCCTGTAAGCTGGCATAATCCATTTAGACCTCTATTCACCTCTTCCTCTGAAGACTCAAAATCCGTTTTTGGGTTCTATCAATTTGGTCTGACGTGTCAGATCTCTTATCAGGAGAAGAAATAGATAATTTAGTGGAGTTCTTGAATATGTTAACTAGCATACACCCTCGATTTCTAGGAAGTTAGGGTGGAGGGTAACGGGTAAGATTCAAATTAATCTAAGTAGTTGGATTCATTAAGAAAGAGGGATAAATTGGACATTCCTCCAAGTAACTTATTTTTGGACTTAATGAGTCCAACTCGAGTCTATGGATAAAAGCACAACAATGCTAAAAATGAAAATGGGCCAGATTTCAAACTCTCAGTCGATGGATCCATCTGTCTTTCCAGGTTTAGTTTTACGTCTACCAACTAAGGAAAGCATTAGTGACCTGTCTAGCCTATTTTCCCCACACACACACATATATATATATATAGGGATAATCATTTGTCATGTAACATGACATTATTTGTGTCATGTTACAGACACAATAATAATGTGGGCCCCATTGTATAATAAAAAAGTAAAAAAAGTTGAAGTGGGTCCCATGCTATATTAAGTGTGTAGGAAAGTGAAGATTTTTCATGTTACATGACACTTGTATTTCCCATATATATATATAGAGGCAGGATCTTTTGACACCGGTGTCAAATTTAAAGTTTGACACCTCATCTGAGAGCCGTTAGATCAAAATCAACGACTCAGATTTGTAAGCATGTGACATCATTGATTTTTTTTGATCTAACGGCTCTCAGATGTGGTGTCAAATTTGTGTCAAAAAATCATACCTCATATATATATATATATATATATATATATATATATATATATATATATGGGGTTTGATTTTCTCAATTTGCATGAGAATTGAATTCTCATGTTATGACTTAATTAGCGGTGGACCCCACATTTATTAAAAAAAGAAAAGAAAAAGAAAAGTTTTTCATGCAAATCGAAGGGTCATAAGATGAGAATTGAATTCTCATACAACATGAGAAAATATTTTTCCTATATATATAGGATTTAATGAGTATAATGTTACGTGATGTAAGAAAATTTTCCTACACTCACAATAAAGAGAAGAGAGAAAGCAGAATGATGAAAGAGAAAAAAAAATGTGAACCCCACCTTTTAGTTGTGTGTGTAGAAAAATTTTCTTGGGTCATGTAACATTAAAATCATAAAATCCATATATATATCGACTCTAATTATCTCTTTGAACTGAGTCGGTCTTTAGGTATTTTCACAGATTTCAACTCTGAGCCGGCTGTGTGATTAATTTCAAGTCAAGATTTAGTCACAATTAAAGCTCATTGCCTCTCCCCAAACATGTATTTGGTGAGAATCGAACTCAGGTTCTCTCCCCACTCTATCCAACCCGTGTTTTTAATTGAATTACACTCATTGGATAGCATATTTTAGTGGGCTCTTTGACCTATTTAGGGTTTTTACCTTTTTAATTTTTCAATCTAATATTTGGTTCACGGTATTTATCAATGGGGGTCATCGAGTGACGCAAGGAGACCTAGCGGCACTGAGTGCCGCTACCCTCCCCCGCTTCACTCACATTCTTTTATTTTTTTTATTCTTTCAATTGAGTGATACCCCCTCCCTTGGGACACTACAGGATTGTGCCAAGTGGCACAATCTCGTTAGTCTCATTACCATAAAACTTCGAAAAGTCATAATTTTTTACTCGGGTATCCAAATCAGATGATTTTTTTTTGATTTCACATAACTTTTCGAGATCTACGCAATGACAACTCATTTGACATATTTTATCTTCCATTAACATAGTGTTGGACAAGTGGCTTCAATACTCAAGAGGGGGGTGAATTGAGTTTTACAAAATCTTTTCGCAAAGTGCCTCCTTTGATATTTTAAAGACTATTTCTTCAATAAAGTGATTTAATAAGGAAAAATCTAAGTGTGAGAGAAAGTGTAGTGATCAACAAAGTAAGCAAGCAAATATATAAAGACACTCTAAAATGCAATTTCAATACTTAAATAAAGAGGTTAAGGTTAACCCCCAAGGGT